GTGTTGATCTTTTTAGGGACAAACGGAGTAGTGCTGGCATACGCTGGAAGAGATGCGCTGTGAAGGAACCGACTCGACCCGTTTGCTCAACCGAACCACAACGGTGGGAAGATGAACTTCGACGGAGGGGACCTTCCCCCGTCGACGGAGGGAACTCCTCCGGTTTGGCGTTCAGGTGGAAGTGATCGGCCGCTCACGCGCACCCTATGACGTCTACCCGCTGCTTGGGCGAAGGAGAGGAGAGTTCCAGGATGGCACAGCGGAAACGTGGGTTTCGGGGGAGGGTTCGGGGGTGAAAACGTGGGTGAAAACGTACAGCATGGGCAAACGCACATCGATGGCAGCATGATCTCTAATGATTGTTTTCAGAGGTTCTGTCAGATATGGGAGATCATGTCAGACTTCCCTCTGAACAGAGGTTCCTCTCGCTTTCAGCACCACAAGCTTTTCCTTTCGCTTTGTCTTCGCCCCACCGTCTGGTCCGGTGGTTCCAACGCGGCCCCACCGAGGCCGTGTTGGCCCCACGGTGCGGCGGCACCGAACCTGCAGACCTTCGCCGAGGAGGAGAGCCGAAGCTGTGAGAGCTTTGCGCGATGTGCGGAGTGCGCGAGCTGTGAGCTTCGGCGGGGGGGGGGTTGGGAGAAAAGTGATGTGATGAAGAAAGAGAAGAGTAGAAGTCTGGTGGGGAAGAGTTGGTTGAAGTTGTATCATGTTGTATCATTTTGGATTTAAAATGTTGAAATCCTATCAAAATCTAAGATCAAGGTGCTGGGAATGGAAATCACGTGCACAGAGCTGCTCCGCCCTTAGAGCTGGTTCTTTCTAAGTTTGCTTTTCAAATTTTGCTTCTATATTGGTCTTTTTGGTGAGTAGTGTCCTTGATCAGAAGGGACAACTGCACCCCAATGGGGATCATGGTCGGCAAACTGAGTGATGATCACTGACAACGCATACGAACCCATATTTGGGTATGTGGGTCCACTCATCGGTAGAGGGTTCTAACACTCAGAAAGAGCTCAGATTTGGGAATGTCCAGCCTCAAAAACAGGATCTCGCCAAACCGTTGGAAGATCAGCTACTAGTAGCTTCTTGTTACTAGTAGCGATGGCCTCCAACCTAATAGCGATGCCCTGCACCATGCGTAGCTTCTTGCTACTGTCGTAGCTTCTTGCTCCGTTCATAGCGATGCCCTTTGCTGGGAGGTCTTGGAGACGCGCGTGCACGAGCGCGTACGCTGCATGGTCTTCGGTTCCCGTGGTGGGCAAGTGGCCGGAAGCCCAAACGGATTTCCAAGAACGGAGCACGGCAAAAGAGAACGATCACAGATGAGTTGATGAAGCATGATCAATGATGAAGCTGGAAATATTCATGTAATCCATGTCTTGCCAGCCTTGCCATGGTTTTCAATTCCATAGTTTTTCTGTATGTTAATTGGCTGGTGAAGCTTTGCCATCCTTTGTCTGAATTGTTGAGAAATTTGTCTTACATTACACTTTGCAAAGAAGTTCCATTCTTTCACCATGTTCACCTCATCGAAGCATCAGGTGCTGCCGCAAATGTGGCAAGCCCAGGCCTGGAATGCTTCATCCGAAGACTCCCGCTTTTGTGCGGGCCAAGCACCCAAACGCGCCACCCGCCAAAGCGTACGCGCTCGGACGCGGACCAGTCACTTCCGAATGCAAAGAAAATCAGTTGTTTAAAGTAAATGAAGTGAAAGTTCTAAGATGTTTTAAGACTCTAAGACCAAGGCTGAACCTTTTTTCAGCTGGCATTCCAGATTCTTTCCGAAACGATGTGTCTCCGAACATGCAACGGATTTAATAAGGACTGTCCTACTTTTGAGATCTTCTCAGCATGTTCGTCGTTGTTTCGTCCCACCCAGAAAATTGAGTTTAAAAAATGCAATCCAGCAGAAATAACGATTCCACGTATGCATCGGAGTTCAAGAGTAAATTATTTAACTTAAAAAAAAAAGAAAAGAAAACACGCAGAGAACGGAGCAATGAAAGACGAAAACGGTTTTTGTGGTTTATTATACATGCAAACAAGCAACGGATTAAAAGCGAGGTTTTTTTCCGCCATCGATCTGAAACTTTGACCAAAATGCCTGATGCGTCACGCGCAACAGGAGCGATCAAATGGTCACATGGGTCGCAACAAAAGATGACTGAGTAAAGTACAAGCATCCACAACAAAACCACAAACAAACACAAGAGAATGCTCGAATGCGAAACGTTATTCAGTCAAGAACACAAGGTTAAGCCAACATCAGTGACTTGATAGCCAAAGAAAAGATTCCAAGAATGCTTCATGGTGAGATTTGCAAGACTTTTTCCAGGCCATGGGCTTGGCAGCAGAAGTACCTCCGGCTGTGGTCATCAATGGCGGCTGCGTGTGGGGCCACGAATGCCTTGGGAGCGGACGAAGAAATGATCCGAGATGATCCGAGTAGTTCCCCTAAGATCATAGAATTGGATTCCATGTTCTTGAATTCTTTTTGCAGTATGTCCAAGGATTGTACCCTTGTTTGTACCCTTGTTTTTTCAGTGAGATCCTCAGTGGCATGTTGGTTCAAACGATGCTGAGTATGCTGGGCTTTTCAGCAGAACGGTCACGACAAGCGTTGAGAAAGAGGAAAGACGTCGAGTGAAGATGTGAGTGAGCGGTTCGAGTGGGGGTTGCTTGCGAATCGACGTGGCCTTGTTGGAAGAAGGCAGTCGCGGGCGAACGGAGCCATGTTGGAGAAGACAATTTGACTGCCAACCATGTTGGAGGGGCTAGCAGCTAGCTTGACTGTGTGAGGGGGCTGAGTCGGGTGTGTCGTGGCGGCAATTCGTGGGGGATGTTCCGCTGATTTGGAAAAGCATCTACCAGCGACCAGCTGCGGCACTGGCCGAAGCCTTGCTCTTTTTGAGCAGCTTCTTTTTGTGTGTGGCCTTCTCTTCTTGGCCGGTGACCGTCTTTGAAAGCGTGGGCGATCAGCTGAACTGGCCTGCCGTGTTCGAACCTGAACTGTTCAAAAGGCTTCGAACCGGTGAACGATGAATTCTTCTTCACCGAGTGAGTGTTGAATCACTGTCCCTTGGCCGTCGAAGGTCGACGTTTCACGGCACCAACAACAACCCGAAGGCAAACGAGAAACCGCGCCCGAAACGGCACGAAAACGAGGAAATACCCATAAGGCCAGATGCTGAAGAGTCCCTTTGCCGAATCGAAGGTGCTGAAGAACTGCGGTGAGGCACCCGCTGGCTTCCAACAAGTCTTATTCTCAGTGTTCGCTGGCTGACCTTTGCCGGCACCTCTTTGCAAGCCACGGTCATGTACCCATTCATTGGAAATACGCTTGATTTTGGCAAGGAGTTTTGGCCACGCTGCAGCAGCTGGACCTTAGCCGCGTTAGTTTGCACAAGGTGACCTCGCACCAATGCAGCTCGGCCTCCTATGATGCCTGGGATGATCTTTCGAGGGAAGGTAAGGATTATGCAGATGCGATTGCTGCTTGGGCGAGCTTTCTCCCAAAAACATCATGATGTCCTCATGCTTCTCGCTTTCTCGCTTTCTCCGTCACAGGTTGGCGCACGTCCATCCAGCTGTCGTTTTTGCTTTTTGGACCTGGCAAGGGTCACGGGGTATCACACGGGTGTGATCCTTTTCGTGTGTCACGATGCAACACCTTCTAGGTCCCAGTCCGATGCGATTGCTGCCCAGTTTGGCGCTGAGGAGACGTCTCTTTCTTGCGATCAGTGGTGTTGACCTTGTGGCTCACACCCAGAGCTCAGTCAGTCTTCTCGAACTTTTAGTGGGCTTCTTGTTGGAGAGACATGAGGTTCCTCTGCCATTCCATTTGGCCATCGGCCTTCGAAAGTTGTTGTTGGTGGTGCTTTGTTGAGTCCTACGGTTTGTCGGTGTTCTTAGTGTGTTCGGTTGGATCTGCTCAAGGTTGTGGCTACACTGTTCCTGTTGGTGAGGAAGGTTCATTGTGTGGTCATTGGAGCTCTGATCTGCGTTTCTCTGACCGTTCGGTGGATTCTCGGCCCCCCAATCTTGCCCTGTTCGCTATGCAGACCTGTCTCGCCCTTGACCTGGGCACCACTGAGGTTCATCCGAGACGCGACCGGCTGTGTGTGAGTGGATTCCTAGAGGATCAGCTCTTAACAGTGAAGACGGGGGCGGTGTCCATGGTGTCGAAGATGGTGTTTCACCCTGTTTCAATCTGTTTCATGCAATTCTCAGTCCTTCCTGGTGATCTTGAGTTCTTTTTACACCCTTTGGTGGTTGGTCTGTTCGTTCATTTTTGTCTTCCTTCACTGACCCCAGTAGACAAGCCCTTTTCCGCGCCGCGGTGGGAAACCTCATCTCATGCCATTTCCTCCATGTGAGCTTTTTGAAACAGCTGCTCCACTCCCCGAGGCCATGAAGCTGCCCACGGCCGTGGCATGGCCGGAGTCACAAGTGCTCTTCCTCCTCATCGGCGGGAAGGACAACTTCAGGCGCCACCAGCGGATGCGGTACCAGGACCGTGGTTCGGGTGAAAGACCGGGTCAGGACTGGTGCCGGCCTTTACAGGAGGCGGAAAGGGGAAGGGGCCCAGGTAGGCACGGAGGAAAGGAGGTGCTTTCTGTGCTTGGGTGGAACGTGCTTGCTGTTTGGAACAAAGTGAAGGGCGGCAAGTTTGAGAAAGATGGAGAAAGCTGGTAACTGGAGATCAGGGGATATTGCTGCCTTACAGAGAGGTCACCGTGGTTTGCCAGGTTCAAGTCTTATTGAAATGTCTCTACTTGATGCGATCGTGGAGAAGTATCGCAGACTTGAGCTAGAGACATGGCAGATGATGAGACTTGAACCTATAGGCCCGCTGAGATATCTGACATGTCTTGAATGGGTTTGCACCTTGCGGGTGCTTCACTTTGAATGCTTGGTGCAATGGAATGGATGTTCTAATGGACTGCAGATTGAGTAGGTTGCTTGTCAGGGGCCATTTGAGTATCGATGAGTACATCATGGAGACAAGGACCATGGAATTTGCGGATGGTTCCGGTGAGCTGCGGAGCGTTGGTCCAACGGTGAGGTCAGAGTGATGTCGAAACAGCTGCAGGCCATGACAGCTACAGGTGTTGTTTGCAATTTGTTGGTGATGTCGAAATGTCACCAAGATTTGTTTGTTATTTTGTTGACTGATCTCGAATTCCAGTTCATGTAAGAGAACTTCGGCATGAATCCTGGGTTGAGTCCACTTTAAAGTCATGGCCTTTTAGGCACTTCTCAGAAAGTCATCTGTTTGGAGCTGAGAGAGGGCTCGGACACCCAGACATGTGGAGCACACGCAGCGTAAGACCAAAGACCGACACACAAGAAGGCAAATCCCAAGAAGACGGGATCAAGAAGATGGAAGGTGCAGAGGGCGCCCCAGACATCCACAAAAGTCAACTGGACGAAGTTGCCCAAGGAAGTGAACTAGCTAGCGGCATCGCGACTCGAACGGGAGAATGATCGGACGGCGACGAGACGGCACAACCGGCCGGTCCGACGGAACGGAGCCAAGGCTTCGCTACGAACGGAGCAAAGGGCATTCCCTTCCGAAAAGGTGAGAGGTCGGGGCGAGTGGCTCGCGGTGTTCCACCGAAAAAAAAAGGAATGGAAAGAGCATATATTTTCTTAATAATATAATGGAAGATAATGGAAGATAATATAATAGTAATACCATATAATATAGAAATAATAGAGCATAATACAACGGAATCAGCATATAAGAGCATATTAAGAGCGTGAAGAAGGGGGTGGGTCCAGCCTTGAGGAGTCATGTGCCAGCTGGCAACAATACCACTGCGATCCTTTTCGTCAAGGACGGCGACGTCGCTACGTCGCAACCGTCGGATGCGGCCGGCCCGTGCGGCCGAAGAGAATTCAAGTTGAAGGGTGCAGAGATGATATATTCTCTCATGGTTCCTCTTTGTTGTTTTTGCTTGAGAGACGGATTGTTGCTCAGATGACGGATGGAGATCGTCCATTCTCCAAAATGCGGCAATGAAGCACTTACCCCCTGGTTTGGGCGGGTTTTGGACCGGACCCTTCTTTGCGGTTTGGAGACTCAGATGGACTTCTAGTCACCCCCCAAAAACCGAACTGAAATTCGGGAGCTTAGGATGGCCCAGTGACTTGCCACTTCTTAAAACCAATCCTTTTGGAGATCTCCAATCCTCGCGAATCTTCGCGACTTGCCTTCTTCTTCGCCATCCCTCAGAATCGCGCCGATTAAGCGGCGATTCAGCGCTAAAGCGCAGGAGATGACACATATGCCACAGCAACATTTGCCGGAGGACTCGGAAAGCGGGGGAGGGGTTTCGTCACGGAACTCGTGCTGCGTGCTCGTTCCATGTGCGAAATCCATCCATCGCGGTACAGTCCATGGTGTTTTGGGGTGAATGGAAATTCAGGTGACCAGGCCGAAGCTTCAGTTGTGCCAACCTCTGAAGCTTCGGCGTCATCTCGTTCCCACGAGTGCGAGTGCAGAACAAGACCTTACCTGGACTGCCAGGGGGTGCTCCTTCGAAGGAGCTTGTAGCTGGGGGCCTTGGAACTGTCTTTTTTGAGAGCTGGGGACTCTGGTACGTACTGACGTAGTGCACCTTTTTTATGGTTTCTCATATGATTCTACCACAGTCCCCCTGTTCTGTTTCTTTGGGGAGCGAATCCACTGCGCCCCTGAACGTGAGCCGTCGTCCAGACAAAATCCACGAAAAATCCACTGCATCGGCGCATGAGTACGTGGAACGTGGCGTGGATTTGGGTTTGGACGTGGGTGGAAGAGGGATCGCCCAGGTTCAGGGGCTTGCTGGGCTTGATGTTAAAGAGCATCGCGGCTTGGAAGGCAGGACCGGCAGGGCCTAGAAGTCAGGGCAGCAAGTAAGTGCTTAGCACTTCGGCTTGCGTGCAGTTTCGATTGCAAGTTTCCTTTTTCTGTCGTTTGGAGCTTTTGGGGGGTCCACGATGAAGGTCGAATGTGTTTCCCAAACACCAGTTTGGATCAAAAGTGTCTCAGAACATGAAATGTCCTCCATGTGGGAGGGCCATGCCCTCGGGAGCAAGTGGCGTATGAGTCCATGCCCTTGAAAAAGGGTATTCTTCACACCACTTGTAGTAAGTACACATGTCCACTCATCAGAACCATTCGAGGGGTACCTACCAAAGCCTCGTGTTCTTTTTCTCTGTTGGGTGTAAACAGCCCCAGGTAGGCCATCGTTTTTCTCCGTGTGTTTGATTTTCCGTTGGTCGCTCGAAAGAAACCAAAGGAGCGGAGCCCGGTCTCCCCTCGCGGTGAAAACGAGACACGACGCCGACACCGACACCGACACTCCGGTCGCGGAGATGACAGGCGGAGGCGCGAGTGCCACTGGAGATCTTTCGCAAAGTGCTCTCCTTCCTCCGGAAGGATCGGATCTCCATATGGTGTTTATGGCGTCCGTCCGAGATTGCTTCCGTATGTGCTGACACGTGCTGACATGGAATGGGTGAAGAAGGCGGGTTTTTTGGCCGGCATGTTGCACTCTAGAATGAGGATGAATGATGCTATGACGTTTTCTCATGGTAGTCCACAATGCCAAGATACGCCAAGGAAGACTTCAGAGGATGTGAGCAACATTGATCAACAGGCCATGATAGAAAGGAACTGACTTGGGAGTGAAGGGTCATATAGGAATAGAGTGTTTGGCGATGTTTGAGCCCTTCAAGAATGGCGAGAAATCTGTTGAAGATGTTTTTACAAGGAGGAGGCCCTCCCAGCCTGGCCCAGGCCCCAAACCCCAGGTCACACCAGCTGGCTTCCTGCCAGAGGTGACACTGACTCCCACCTTCTCACTTGAGAAACTCCGCTGGCTTGAACTCCCCGGACCCTGTCTGTTTGAACACAGGATGGATGGAGTGGTTCTTTGATGTACACCCAGCCTACGGGCGAGTGGAAGGCCATTGACTTCAGCCCGGGCCACAGGTGGGAGAACGGTGCTTTCACGGTGACTCTGGAGCCCAAAAGAAAAAACCGATGACATGTTTGTCCACAGGATCAGAAAAGAAGCCAATGTGTGGGGCCATGGTTTGTGTGAAACCAGGTGGGTGATCATGATCACCCAGAGCAAAGTGTTGTTCAGACCGTGTTTGGAATGCCATTGAGAAATCAAGACTTTTTGGAAACACGAATTCACACAAATCTCAGGCTGTTCCAAGGAGTGCTCCAGTTCTTCGCCCTCGAAACGATCGTCGAAATCGATCGACGGATCGGTTCGGATCGTCACCGAGGCCCCTTCGACATCGAGACGCACCAGGCGACGTCCAAGGGGGAGAGGAGAGGAGCCAGCGCATACCGACACGCGATGTCCGCCAGCCGGTTCCTGGCTTCTTCCGATCTTGTTATGGGATGTGTTGGGGCTTCTTGACGGCCCGGTCCTTTTGAGCGATTGGATGGTAGGGGCAGTTCGCTTCGAGCGGCTTATCCCCATGGATCCTGCGGGCGATGGTGCTTGCCGGACTGGGCGGGGCTCATGCGATGCTCGGACTGGGAGGATGCCAAGCTCCTCCTCCCCCGAACGCGGTGGTGTTCTTGGTTCACAACGACCGACGTCGACTCGTCGAGACGTTTGGCTCAGAGTGAGAAGAAGTGAGTGTTCCCAAGAGGCGAGGCCTCTACAGGATCCTGAAAACGGACACTCACTTCTCCTTCGACGTCGGGCGTGCGATGAACGTTCCACATTTCGGTCCTTTGATGGATGGCGACGTCGAGTCTCGTCATGGCCTCCATTGGTCGAAAGGCTCCATCGAACTCGCGAACGTTCCACCCCTCGAAACCCGGCGAAACGGTTTCGCAGCTGAAACCGCATCGTGTGGAGACGCAGGTTGAGAGCACTCAGATGCCACATGAAGAGCTGATGCCGATGGCACCTTGCTCTTGAAGTCGAAGAAGGAGGGCAGCGAATTGGAAGGAAATCGAAGAGAATCCAAAAGAAACATGTAAAGCGAGCCATTTTGTTATTTTTTCCTTTGATCATCACTCTGCATTTGGAACTCGTATAGTCACTTCATATAAAAGTTTGATATCTTTTTCCTCGTAGCTTCACCATGCTTCACCTCCTCCGGGTGTTCTTTTTTATCTTTTGTTGGGGGGTCCAACCACCCAAGTAGTTATGGCCGATGCCAAGGCCATGCATTCGGTGATTCCCAGTGGTTTGTCCATGCCAGACACGTTTTAAAGAGGTTTTGAGTCTTGCAAAATTCAGTATGTGTCCTCCCAACCGGCTGTGGTTTTCACCGGCACCGTTATTTTTGTTCGCAGCTCGGCTGAGAACCTCCCCCTTCCATCTCAGATCGGGCTCTGAAGGCGTTCCCATGCTGAAGCATGCTGAGCCACGTCATGTGGACCCTTCTCATGGTCGACGTCCATTGAGCCCAGGAATTCACGGCCAAAGATGAAGTGAAGGCACTGCTGGGTGTCCGTTTTTTTTCAGAACAGGGGACCACAGCAATGCACATGTGGGTGAATTGTTGTTGTTGTTTTCTGTGAAGATCTTATTTTGCGCAGGCTGGTTGCAGAAAGAGAAGAGACATGAAAATGTTCACAACAGACGAAACGCGTCTTCTTTCGCGAAAGATGTCCGCTCCATTTTGACACTCCATGTGGAGCGGACACGTTGACTTCAAGAGACGATGAATGGTCGGCAAGAGACGATGACTGTGGTGGATCACTGAGACGATGTACCTCTGTCATCCCCTGTCCCGCCCTGTGTACCCGATGCGAACTCAGCAAAAATCCTATAAGAGAATCTTGGGGTGTCTGCAAAAAAGCTCTATGCAGTACAGTGGTACAGTGGGGTTTCACAAGAACATCACTATTGTAGAGATGTCGGCCAAAGTGGGTTTATCCCTTGGGCTCAGGGTGTGTGGTGTCAAGACTCCCCGCTGCAGCGACAACGGTCGATGAGGCACTCTGGAAGGCGGCGGTGGTGGCGGCCACGGGCCCCAAGAAGGCCGAGAAGTTGATCGACAAGGCGGTGGGGGGTGCCGTGGGGTGCAGAGAGAGAGGTTGGCCGTTTGTGGGGTGCCGTTTGTGGTGTTGGGGGTTTGGGAAGAGAATGGACAAAAAAATCAAAGAACCTCAAAAGGGCTATGGATCAACTGTCTTCAGGGAATTGGTAGAAGTGGTGGTTTGCTTTTGATGTGATTGTTCTGAGGATCTTCTTTGGATTAAGGCTGATTAAGGTCGATTTTTAGAGGGAGGCTGATCTTCTGTCCGCCCAAATGTCAAGTGGACAAGTACAAGTGTTGTTACTGTTCAGTTCGGTGTTCAGTTCGGCCCTTGATTGCCTTTTTGGTGAGAAGACGTCCTGATGTCTTTAGATGTCTTTAGGTTGGACTCATGCTGGCTGCATGAGCTGTTTTTCAACCGAGTGTCGTCATGGTCGACATGGCCGGAACCCTGACGCCACCCCTACTTGTAGCGACCGCCGAAGTAGAGAAACTGCCCTAGCAACTCGAAATGGGAATCTCCAACATGACCAGGTGTTCTATAGTTGGGTTGGGTGATGATAAACCTGTTTGGCTGCGGAGTTGGGAGGCTGCAGAGTTCCGCCCAAACGATTTCCTTCACCTTGCTGACGTAGTCTACCCATCTAACTGGTGTCTCTTCCCACCCGACCACGCTGGACCCGGTACTACCGTGATTCTTCCAAAGCCGCCCGACTCGAGGGTTGTGACGCTGCAGAGGCGGGGCCAATCTCCTTCCACGTCCCCACCTTGACCAACAATGCCTTGCGTGCTTCGGAGGCGCGAGCGCTTCGGGAGCGGAAAGGTCGGGGTGCTTTCGGTGTTCCGAAGGGACTCTTGCATGTTCAGTGGATGCTTATGATGATGATCCTAGATGCCTGAATTCTGCAGGTTTCTGTTGTTTTGGAGAATGAAAGATACATGGAATCAGCTAGCGAGGGAAGTGAGTGAGCTTCTCCTCTTCGGCCAAACAAGTGACCCACACAAAGCGATGTCACACCATTGCAGAGCAAGCGATTTTGAGCTCGACTCTATTATGTAAATATGGTTTGCTATTAGGATGGAGGCCATCGCTCTCAGCTTGAGGGCCCATCGCTAGTAGGGTGGAGGCCATTGCTCTTGGGATGTGGAGCTTGTTTGGATCTCCTCGCCAAGCCCAGGGCTTGCAAGTACCAGTCCGTGCGGATTTACACCAGGGCACACCCGTGGGGGCGCCTGGGCACACCCGTGGGGACGGGGGGGGCGCACAGGGCGCACAGGGTGGAAGCGAAGTGGAAGCGCACCGGAGCTACAGGTCAACTGCTGAGGTCGGTGCTGTGTGCACTCCGATCCAACGCCATGCTTTGGGCATGGCCCACGCCATGAAGCATTGATGGATGGATGAGGGTTTCTCAGCAACTTTGACCTAGCTGATCTTGGACCAGTCACACCTGGCAGCGAAGAAGACACAGGACACTCCAAGGTGCGGAAGTACACAGCTGGATCCCCCAGCACCAGCAATGGAGTGCTAGGTGCCGCGCATGTGGGACTCAACACCCTCAGACCCACACCAACACCCACCACTCTGACCCAAGAGGCCATGACCATGCCATTTGGATCGTGCATTTGCCCCGGACAGACTCCACTTCCATCAACGGCCAAACCGAGTTCCGCTACCCGCTCCGTAACTCGACCTCAGACCGAGTTCCGCCACCCGTTTCGACCGTTCTCCCGAGGATGTCACACCCATCTCGCGGAGCTTGGGCTTGCACGCGCGCGCGGACGCCCGGCGGCCGACGTGCGGGTGACGCGCGGCGTTGGCCGCCTGCGGTGCGCGTTTTGCACCCCGGTGCCGTGCGGTGCATGTCAGGTCCAAGAGGCTTCTCCTCGGGCTATTCCACGTGTCTTGGCGAAGTTGGCTGAAAAAGGATGAAATGGAATGGGAGGAGAAGCTCTTTCAAAGCCTCATGCTGCTGTCATGTGACCTGCTGGTTATATATGTAAGATCACCAAGATCGTGGACTATGAAGGTCGACAAAAAAGGGCTGACATGTTGACTCCTTGGTAAGTCATATAGATTCATATAGTCAGGATAGAACGAAACATATCAAGAACTGTTCATATAATTTGTCTGGAACTTCTTTGCTTGTCAAACGAGCCTTGGGATCCAAATCAATCTGAAAGAACACCCTAAAAGAGAACGAAAGCTCTAAAATGATCCTATAAAGGATAAATGCTGATAAAGGATCTAGAACGGTCCAAAAACTGACGCCAGAATCCAGGAAATCACCTGCACTTTTGTTCCACGTGTTTGATTTCGTTGTTCCGAAGTGTTCTCATTTCGAGGCCACAGAGCAACCACAGCTCGGTCTCTCCCCAGCGTGTCTTCTTCGTGGAGTCGCCCAAACGAGTCCCGGTGGCCTGAAGGACCTGCCGGGACGTCCGCGTCCGCAGGGGTGGAGCTGGAGGGGAGGCATGGATGCCAAGCACCGAGATGTCAAGGTGAATGAGGGGAAAATGGACGACTCAGAGGGTCCCCAAAATGGATGGAAACAACAGTTCCCACTGATTCCTAATGCGTTGTTGTATATTATATATGCTATGTACTGGAAACTGCTTGGACCCGACGTGATGGAAAGGTTTGGAGGTCGTCGCATCGCTCGGGATGGCGCCTGGTCAAGAACTTGAAGCAGACTGTGATAGGACACACTTCTCTTTCCATTGGCATTCTAAAAAAGGTGATGGAAAAGATATCTCAAAATGAAGAGAAAACGACAAAGCACCCAGAGAAACGCCATGAAGGTCGCCCTGAAGTAGTTCTGAATGATTCTGAAAGGAATTCCTCGAGGAGCGACTGCTTCAGTCCGCTATATAGGGCTTCCAGGCCAGTATTCTTATGTTCTTGGTCTGGATTTTGGCTTGCGAGTTTGTGTTTGAATGCTGCTCCTTATCGCAACAGATGCTAAAGATGCGATCAAAAAACGTTTGGCCTGGCCTAATTGGAATGCTCCCGATGTTCGCGACCCCCAAAGGGCAGGATCGCATCGGGAGGGGAATTCGGATGGAATCCACGGGTTCATCCACGTGAATCCACGAGTGAGTGGCGTGGCCGTGCTGCATGAAAAAAGATCCCTTACATATGAGGATCTGGGCAGAAAACTAAGGATGTAAAGGCTGATGTGAGCTCATTGGAGACCCAATTACTTCATTTGGTTCGGATAGGAAGTCTTCTGTCAATCTATTCGGTTCTCCGAAAGCCTCGCTCGCTCAGGGTTTTCTTCAGCTTCTCAACAATTCACAGCGTTCTCAGGGTTTTGGCCACAGATTGCGGGGGAAGCCTTAAAGAATTCATAGCATAAATGTTGGAGGCCATTCCCATTGGGTTGGCCATTGCTATTAGGTTGGAGGCCATCGCTACTAGGTTGGAGGCCATTGCTATAGGTTGGAGGCTATTGCTATTAGGAAGCTTTAAAGAATTCATCATATAAATGTGTGGGTCCTCAACTAGTCTTGCCATACCATTTTTGCCAGACCCTCATTGTCCTGATCTGTGGGGCCGGATCTACCCGCAATGGCGATCCACCTACAACGATTTCGAATTCTTCCGATCTCCTGTAATTCTTGGAATGCATTGGATGTATGTATTTATGATTGCATATAATTATTATCTGGAGATCGAGAAAGAAACAATAGCAAATGGATTAATGTCCAAATCAAATGAAAAAAATTATATGTATTTATTTATAGATAATATCTTTTATATCGATATATATGATTATTGTTATAAATATTTAAAATAATGATTTGAAGGATATATTTTTATTATTTATATATTTTAATTTATATATTATTTTTTTTTTTTTTGTAATATATATATATATAAAGCGCCATTTGTAAATTAAGAAAGGGAGCGTCGGGCGTGATTTTCTTTTTTCCACTTTCGTGTTATGAGTTGGTTTTGAATGTCCGTAGGATGTTTAGCCCCATTTTTTCGTTCCTTATCTTTTTGAACCTCATAGATCTGCAAAATTTGGTCCTAAGTCTAGGCGGGATGGACCGACATGAATCTTTTATGCTAGATAACATTATCCCGGGCGTGAGGGTTGCTTTTCTCGCCTTAGGAGAGTGCGTGAGCCCGATGCATATCCATGATATCCCTTTAATAACCTCGGGCGAAATACCACGAGGCATGGGTAATAGTTGGTTTAGGCGTCCTTTAGTCTCGGAATCGGTGTAACCGATTAAAACGATCGTATATTCGAACATATTTTCGATCTTTGGATATTGGACTCGTTATGTATAGAAATAAAGTATTGTATTCTGCATAGGTGTTTTTTCGAATACATCAGATATGGGCACAGCGTCGTCGATAGATTCCCTTCCCGAGGGTCTCTTATCCGATCCCCTTCCGTATTAGGCCATCTTTAAATGCTACAGTGGAATGCTTTAAAATCATTGCATTATCCAAGCTGATTTGCTTGCTTGGTGTGATCGATTATTATATGACATCATTATCGTCTAGGAAACGGGATGGGGTATGACAAATGAATGGAGTACCCCCCCATGGTATGTGATATATGGGGCTGATAGGTATATTTCCGTTCTCGTGATGGTTCGTGCAGCCCTGATCTCACGAGAAGCCATCTCGATTGCACACTACATCTCCGGCAGGATTGCAATTGTACCGCCCTCACGATATATATGCCATCTACTAACATGCATGGAACTCAGGCGGGAACGTCTCGCAATTATTGAATAAACGACAAAGAGTTTGGACTTGCCTTCGTAATTGCATTAACCATACCCCAGCACGACATCTTCTTGTATTAGGCGGTGATTATAACACACCACTTGATTTTGAAGGTCAATATATTTTCACCAAGGATCCCAAGTATGCCAAAGCTGCTCAAATTGATCGGGATCTATTTCGCGCATTAGTTTAGGTATTAGTTTAGGATAACCGCTTGGCAGCTATTCACGCTAGGGTCTTCCATCCCACATTCGTGCATGGTGATTATAATATTCGAATCGATTTCGTGTTGATGCGCAAGGACCAGATTTCCTGGAGCAGATTGCAACCGAAGCATCACCCTGACTTCGACTTTTTGTTTGTCAATCAAGGCCCTCGCCATTATCCATTGAGCTTCCACTTGTCCAAATGGTACCCCGCTCCCAATCCCAAACACCATGAAGGCATCAACCGGTTCCGCCTTCGACAGGCCTGGACTCAGCAAACTCCGCAATGGGACACCTTCCTGACTCAGGCACGACACGCCATTACTACCCCAACACTTCAGTCGTCACCGATCGATAGTAATCTGGCCTTGGAACGAAGCCTTGTTCAGTTGGGTAAGCAATGTTTCCCGTTAGTCCAACTCCTGTCTTTCGATCATTCAATGCCCAGATGTGGCTAGCACGGAAGGCTGTCCTGGCCTTGCCGGATTGTTGTCTAAAGTCCGTGTTTCAGGGTTGGTGCAACTTGACACGCTATCGTATTTTGCATAAACAAATCAGACAGTATAGCCGGACCAATAAACGGAACAGACTCGAAAACTTCCTCCGGGAAGGTGCTGATTTGGCCATGAAGCACCAGTCGTTCGACTTCTTTCGCCGAATCCGCACGCTCTGTCCCAAGCCACGATATCAGCGAATCCACATGTTTGATGGTTATGGACAACCACTTAGCCCCCAACAAGAGCTTAATGAACTTGTTCAGTACTTTGGGACTCAATTTCATGATCCGGACTATCAACCACCGACCCCGCCCGCACTTCAGGTCTTGCCATTTGATGAGAGGGCCGTGCATGCAGCCTTGAAGCGTCTGCCTGCCACCAAAGCCGTGGCTCCACCGTGTCTCCCAACCATCGTTTGGAAAGTTTTAGCCCCTGAACTCGCTGGTTCGACATATCGCGCCTTGGCTCACTGGTGGAGCGTTTCCCCTCCACAAGCTCCTGATGACTGGACGGCTGGATGGCTGCATCTCATTCCCAAACCGGGAAAGCCCAGCACGAAACCGCAAGCACTTCGGCCGATATGCCTTCAACACCTTGTCTGTAAAGTTGCTTCGAGTTTTGTCACCACTCAATTGTTGCAATACACCATCGACAAATTTCGTTGTTTCCCTTTGTATGCTTACCTCCCCAACAGGAGTATTGCTGATTGTCTGCTTCGAGTGTCGCATCATTGCAGACAGGTTCGCGACGACTGTCACATGTACAGCCAGGATAATTCAAAGGATGGCATGTTTGGCGGCCTGCAGATTTCGTTAGACATGAATAAGGCCTTTGACTCGGTCAGCCGCAACACGGTGAGCCTTGCCATTCAAGGCTTGCAACTGCCCCCGGATCTCCAGACCATGATTCACACACTGTTATCCCCCCACAAATACTATATACCACATAAAAAGTTAGTGGGTGAGATTTTGGCCATTCGAGGGATTCGTCAGGGATCAAAAGATGGTCCGATCCTTTGGACACTTTGTATGCACTTGGTGCTCACCGATCTGGCGGCTCGATACTCGTACCAGTGGATTCACGAACATGTAATAATTTATGCGGACGACGTGCATTTGCGATGGCGCACTAGTCAGCTTGCCGATGGCCTCACTGCCCTGTCAAACCTGGACCACATTCTTCGAGTCTTTCGCATGTATGGTTTCTCCATCAATCTTGACAAGAGTGTTGTCTCGTTTCGGGCTGTTGGTAAAGGGGCACACAGATTCACCAAACGGCGGATTGTCCGCACCAAAGCTGGTCCTTTTCTGACCATGCCTGACTCCTCGATCCGACTGCCCATGGTTTCGAAAAACGGCGTACCTTGGTGTGATTATAGGATACAGGGCATGGGAAATGGACACAGTAGCACGACGTGCACAGGCCGCTCAAATGTGTTTTTCGACCCTGAGGAAGTGGCTCACAGCCCAATGTGTTCCGCAAGGCATCAGGTTTCGATTGTACCACCAATGCATAGTGCCAACGCTCATGTATGGTATTCATGAAATGGGCATCACACAGAAAGGTTTTCGTAAAATAATCAGCATCGTCAATGTGCACTTCCGACGCATGATCAGGGGCCCTGTTCACTTAACACATGAATCCACACAAGACATGTTTTATCGATTGAATCAACCTTCTCCCTGGGCGATTCTCCAGAGCCACAACCTTCGACTGCGCCAGTCGTTGCTGCACAAGATTCAGCAAGCAGTCGAATTTGCCATGGATGACCAACGTCCAGATGTGATTGCACTGACCCCAGATTATCCCATGAGCCACTTAAACACGCCGAGTGATTCCTCCCAACCTCATGCTCAGGATCCCTCTCTTGAGTGCCCGGAATGTCATCGACAATTTAACCAGGCCGGGATATTGAAGCGGCACATGCGTCAAATGCACCACATCCCATGTTTTCCAGAAGATGTATATAATC